TCCATCGCTGCGGCCCAACTCCACTGTCTATGTGCACATGTGCCTCTCCCCACCCCCACCGGCCAGCTGGTTTTCGGGTCTCTTCTGTGCATGTGCAGAGGGGTGTCTCATGCACAGAGGGGGGGTGTTTCTCATTGCATTTGGGGGCCTTGCACAGCACCTCCGTGCCCCATTATGGGCCTTGAAAGCCTCCTGTACCAAGCTAGGACTCAAAAATGGCTGGGGGTGGGGCGCATGCAGGGGAATTGAGTGCACATGCACGGGTGACAGGGCACATGGGGAGGGTCACGCACACATTACATTATGTGTGCAGGTGCAAAAAAAAAAGGTTAGCTGTCACTGTCCCATCGCAAAGGAGTGTTTAGTCTCTTCCCAACCCAAAGGTGCTTTTTTCCAAGAGGCAAATGGATTTCTCTCATCCAAGGTTGCATGGCTGACTGGGGGATTCTGGGAGTCGTAGTCCACCTGTCTTAAAGGGACCACCAAGGTTGAAATTAAGATACCCCCCCCCCATCCACCCCAAAGCCTAAACTCCATCTGGAATTCACTTCTCTCATCCTACAGCCGAATACAAGACCCTTTGTCCGGGCGGAGAAGGCTTCCGGCCGAACCCCATCACAGTCATTTTGGAAGGTAAGTCGGTAGATCACTTGGGCAGTGGGGGGGGGAGGGGGGCTGAAAAGGATTTCTTGAGCCCACCTGAAAGTTACAGACCCTCTGAAATTCAGTGCCGGAGGGTCTCTGTGGACGCCAAAACCCTTCCAAATTGAAAGCGCACCACATTACTAATGGCAGCCCTGGGGGACATTCCCCGGCTTTAAAAAGAACATTCAGAGGGCGTCGTTTTTATCGGGGTGATGAACTGTGGGAAGAAGAGGCATAAAGAGAGTTGGGGGCGGGGGGGGAAAGCATCTATTTTGGCTGCAGAATAAAGCAAAATATTCAATTGGATTGATCGGCGGGGTTGATCCTTTAATCAGGAGTTGGCAGGTTTTCGGATCTCTGCTGCAATTCAAATTAATTAGTCGTTTGTTTTGCAATGTTGAGGCCATTTGGGATGGACGCTTGGAGCACATCCTGCAATTCTGGTGCCATCCTTATAGCTACTCTCCAGAAAACAAAAGCTGAAACATTTTGCCCAGAAGGTTTCAGATAATGAGAATCTGGGGCAGCCCCAAGGAAGCCACGGAGAAAGGCGAACATTTGGGGCTCTGCCTGCCAGAAAGTCAGAAAATGCCTCCCTTGATTTTGTACGGGGTGTACATTCCTCCACCGCATACCGGTTCGGCCTGGTTCAGTTGAATTGGTAGCGCTATGCCAGTCTGGATTGCAGAACTGGCAGCGACCCAGGCTGGCCACGCCCCCAAATGGTTTCACGGTTGCCGCCGCTGCTGCCGCCATCTTTTTTTTAGTTTTGTGCATGCACAGAATAATTTCCATTGAACTGTGAATGCGTGCACGATACCGGTGCGCATGAGCGAACCGGCAGTAATGTCGGCGGAAACCCACTCCTGATGGGGTGGGGAGGGAATGGGATTTTGTAGTATCCTTCCACTGTCACCCCCCACAAGGCCACGCCCCACAAAGCCATGCCCACAGAACCGGTAGTAGAAAAATTTAAATCCCGCCACTGCACCTCACCCTGAACAAAAGAGAAACTTTGTTCTGGATACATTCTTTTCGTTTTCAAAATAACAAGAGTCCACTTATGTGCATCGATGCGTAGGTCGGGAACTGCATGTCTTAACGTTTGTCTGAAGGAATGTCCATTTGGGTTCAGCTCCAAGAGGGAAAAAAGACTCTGGAAACATGAAGGCTGTTTGGAAAGATGGTTTAATGGTGAAAAACATGGGCTTTTCTTGTTCCTGGGCAAAAAAAACCGAGCACATGGTAGAGAGAGAGAGAGAGAGAGAGATTTATACCCTCTCTTAAGCCCCGCCTTGGAGCTTCCTGTTCCTGTGAAAGAAATGTAATCGGATTGGTTGTCAGACTCTCATGGGGCCATACAGGGGTGACTTTTGTCAGGCTGTCCTGAATCCCAAGCTTGGTTGAATCTTGCTGGGTGATGTAATCTCCCCAGGTGCCACGTGGTGAGTTCTGTGGGTAGATGGGCAGATGGCTAATCCTATCATGCCTTTTGTTTTGGTAAGTAGGTTGGCACCAGCCTTTCCGGGACTATTAGCAAAGGTGGGGGGCTGCTTCCAAGAGCATGTTTCTCTTTTTCTCCTCCAGGGAGGTAGAATATTCTGCCTTTTTAATATTTCCTAGAATATTTCATTTTTCTAGGAGAGGGAGGGGTGGCTGCTAACTTCCTACACGTTAAAAAAAATCATATAATATAGAGAAATAATAATATAATCTAAAGAAGCATACAATCATTACAAAAATGAAACGTGCGTGTAGGGAAGTCCTCAACAGAGCCCCAAATTTCCGTGGCCAAGCGAGTTTCGCCTCATTTTACGACCTTTCCTGCCATGGTTGTTAAGTGGATCGCTGCACTCATTAAGCTAGCCACGCGGCCATTAAGCGAACCCGGCTTCCCCCGTTGACTTTGCTCATCAGAAGGTTGGAAAAGGGGATGGCGTGACCGCCATAAATTTGAGTCAGTTCCCAAGTGACCATGGGGGTGCTACAACAGTCGTAAGTGTGAAAAATGGACGTAAGTTGGGTTTTTCAGGGCCGTTGTAACTTTGAACGGTCACTCAATGAACTTGTATATCGAGGACTGCCTATCACAATAAAAGCGTGCTAAAATATCGGGGCACTTGGTACCATGTCCAAGAATTTTACAAAACAAATTGCAGCTTCCTGCAAAAAACACCTGTGAAATTGCAAAAAACTAAAAACTAAAAAATATATTTTAACTTGGTTGATACCTAGGACGCTGGCAGAAGCCCGTATCAACAATCACCACCAGTCAATGGTATTTGTGACGCATTTTTAAATGTTTAGTTGACTGAGTTTCATGTTTAATGAATAAAAGAGATAATCATAATAATCTGTAACACCTTCAAAAATCCAGATTTGCCTATCTCAGGTCCTTGATGATAACTCAATCAGCAGACAAAAATGCTCAACCCAGTCTGAACATCTGGCTGACTGTGTGATTAATGATGATGATGATGATGATGATGATGATGATGATGATGATGATGATGATGCCAAATCTCAAGCCAACATGGCAAGCTAAACCATCTACTATATATGGATGTCTTAAAAATGTATGCAAAAAACCCCCACTGAGCTTAAATCTTTGGAAAACTTTGGAATCAGCAAAAATATCTGTACATTTTTGAAAGCAAATATGCAAAAATGGAAAACAGTTTTAACAGCGAATGGGGAGAGCCTTGATGAAGTCAACATCAGACAAGGAATCATCCATATATAGTA